CACTCACTCACTCACTCACTCACTCACTCACACACACACACACACACACACACACACACACACACACACTGGCATCATGTGGGCACAGAACAGGCACAATGCCAGCTGCCCTCCTCCTCCTCCTCCATCTGCCGCCATTTCAGAGCATCACAACACAGATGCACATACAGCATATTCCCACGCTTAAGGAGAACATGCAAATATCAGGGGCTTGTTATTTATAGGCCACAAATATAACTGTTTTCAACGATGCTGAAAATTCAGCTGCGCATCACAGAAATAAATTACAGTTTAACAGATATTCACATAGAGAACACCTATTTTACATTGTAATAATATTTCACAATTTTACTGTATTTTTTGTCAAATAAATGCAGATGAGCAGAAGAGATTTCATTCAAAAACATTTTAAAAATCGTAATTATTAAATCATTAATAGTCTTGTAGTTAATCAACTAATTTAATATATTTTTACAGTTATATTTCCCCTATTATTAATAATATTGAACCAAAATATAAATAAATACATCATATATATTATATATTTATTTATTACAATTTGTTTTTTCTGTAAAAATATATAATTATTTTTAATATTGAAAATATTTAATATTTTTGATGTTATACTCATACTATACTCTAAAATATTGAATCAGGTTGAATTGTATTTAAATGTATATATATACATTTATTTAATATATTTTTATAGTTGTAGTTTTCTCTATTATTATTCAGATACACACATACACACATACATATACAGTATGTATGGCCCAAATGTTATTGGCATTAAGCGACTTGTAGAGATAGAGAGCTTCAAAAGTAGTGATTTTGATGCAAGCTAATTTTGTCTGATCATGTGACCTCAAAGAGTGTGATTTTGAAGAAGACCATCTGTGTGGCTACACTAACGAGTGGAACAGATATATGAACTGGCGTGTGGGAAGATCAGATGATACTGCTCTGAATGATGGAACAGGTTAGTCTAATCAGCACCTGCTTTGTGATATAATCCAATATGATATGAAAAAAAAGATTTTGCATAAATCTTATAAGACATGAAAGATGTTCTGTAATTTTGTTATCTTGTACAATAAAAATACTGAAAAAATTGTATACATTGTGCATTTCATATTAAAATATTTTGTTTATATACAGTATGTATGTATGTATATATATATATATATATATATATATGTGTAAGCCGTGTAATCTCTATAAAATGATTCCTAAGACTCATTTTGAATGCGTCAGTCCAGTTTGAAGAGAAACGGTGGCGTTTTGTTGATTTAGCCGTCGGTGTCTGCTGGCCGAACCCCAGCCTAATGTGTGAACAATTATGAGCGCGTTAAACCATGAGCTATATTTCAAATATGAATATGTAAAAGGAAATTGTATATGACCTGGGAAGCGAGGCGTAGAAACTCCAGGCTGGTTTAAAGCGGCGCTCGTGCTCTTCTTGGCAAACGCTTCCCTGTGTGGAAAACCCAGCCAGAGAGTTAATGAGGTGCTGAGCGCTGTAAAATATGAAGAGCAGCGTCATAAATAACAGCACTGAGGATCACAGATGATTATTTGTGAACGGCATCCAGAAGGAATTCATCAAGATCCCGCTGGAGCTTTTAAAACACATTCACTCGGGTGTACCATGGTTCTTTAGCGTGGCACCATGGTAATATAATATTTCTGTTTAGTTCATGTGCAAAAAAAAATGCCTGAAGCACTGAAACAAGACAACCACGGTACTGTATTAATAATGATCGTATTTTAGCACCAAAGTACCGTAGTGTTACCATCACTGTACCATGGTACCACCACAGTACTTTTCATATTTTTTGACATAATAATATTTTTTCAATATATTTTTCACATTATTTATTTATTTGTTTTTGTTATTTAAAAACATTTTACATTTGTATTTTTATATTTAATTTATATATATTTATTGTTAGGCATATATAATTTTTTTTTTTTACATCTACCATACTAATATTACAGTTTTCTTCAAAATACCTAGTAGTAAATATGTAAATATCATGGTATGTGAATATCATAATCATTCAGTACCATGGTATATTTCAAAGTAGTTTTACCATAACTGTACCATGGTACCACCATAGTTTTTTTTAATAAGGGTAATATCATATTTTTTACTGTACACTTAATATTTAATTTATATATATATTTTTTTTTCACTGCTGCAATACATTTTAATTCATTCTTCTTTATTTATTTTTTATTATTATTATTTCATTTAGTATATTTATTGTTAGGAATATATAATGAAAAATATTGATTTTTTTTTTTGCATCTACCGTACTACTAATATTACAGTATTCTTTGAAATACCCTATATATCAAAGTACCATGGTTTTTGACATATCTATGAAAAAAGTGTTTTCTGAAGCTTTATTGTGTATAAATGTGACGCGGCGTCTCACAGGACCTGAAGGAAAACTTTCTTCCGTCTTCATGAAGTGGTCATTTCCAAGCTGCTTAAATGTGTGTCGGTTTATCTGAGCGATGTCATTTCCTGGAAGCGGCGAAGCGTGAAACAGGCCTTACAGCTCTGGTTAAACTTCACCAGGCTTAACCAGATCAAGCCACCCGTGAACACACGGAGAGAAGCAGTGTGGGCAGAGAGAGACGCTTTCACTCCGTCCCACTCAAACTTTGTGTCTCCGTCCCAAATCAGGCTTTGTTTAGTCTTCCTTCTCCGCACGTATCCCGTCTGAGCAGCTGTCTGGAACCAACTCTGAAAAACTCTAGTCATTATTCATCCTCCCACCGTCTCACAAACACAACATACTCACATACTACAAACATGGATTTTTTACTTTTTTGTATAATAATATATCAAATTTATTTAATATATTTTGGTTCAATATTAATAAAAATAGAGG